AGAAAAAAAAAAAAAAAGTCCAAGTCCTTTGCCATCACAGAATCCATCCCACAGGCCTCACCTCCCCAGCTTCATCTCTCTCTCCTCCCACCACCCCAGCCTCCTCACTGTTCCTTAAACACATAGGCTCACTCCAGCCTCAGGGCCTTTGAACATGCTGCCCCCCCCCACTCCTCAGCTAGGCCTATCCTGAGCACCCTCTCCCTCCCATTAAAAATGACACCCCAACACTGATTTTTTTGCCCCACTGTATTTTCTCACCACAGCACCCCTCCTTTCAACAAAATGTTGAATTTACCGATCTGTCTGTTGCCTCTCCCTGCTGGCTAGAGCACAGCTTCAGAGCAGGTATCTTTGTTTTGTTCTCAGCTGTGTTCCCAACACCTGGCAAACAGTAGGCACTCAGTAAATATTTGTCAGATTAATTAATGCATGACCATGGGTGAATGCCCTCTTCTCTGGGATCCTGCTTGGTGGCCTGTTAAATAGGGGGTGGGCGACGCCTGCCTGAGTCGCCAAAGGGCTGGTGCTGGGTTCCTCCTCTCACCCCACCCCACCCCCACCTGCCTAGGGGCTTCCTAACTCAAAGCTGCCGTGATGGGAACCACAGCCTCGGGCTCTCTCCTCACCCTCCCTTGCCCCAAATAGGTGCCCAGTCCTACAGTCCTACTGCTTGTTCCAAACCTGCTCCATTCTCCACAAGTCAGCCTCTCATCCTCAGCAGAGGAAACAGGCCCTGGGCCCTCCTCTCACAGTGTGTATGCTCTCCTGCTTCCCCTCCCCTGGGGACCGGCCGTGTCTCCTCCCCTCCCTCCCTCCTTCTCTCTGGCATCCTTCACTGCTGGGACTCTGGGCAGAGCTGGCAGTGTCATCCCTGTCTCCTGCCTCTCTCCTACAATCTGGCCCCCAACCCCCCAGCAGGCGCTCAAAGGATGCTCCCTCCAGGGTCCCTGAAGACCTCAGGCTGCTAAACCCGAAGATGACCCCTGCGGTTCCCTTCAAAATCCGCTTCCCATCACACTCTCTGGCTCTCCTTCCTCCAGGTCTGTGGCTTCCATGTCTGCCTGATCCCCAGATCTCTCTTGGATTCCAGACTCCAAATCCCTACTGGCCTCACAGTCACCTCCCCCCACCTCAGACTCAGGCTGCCACCCTTTTCCCAGCTCCCTTGGGTCTCCTCACCTCAAGCCAACAGCTATTTCCTGACCACCTCTGTGCTACACACACTGAGTCCCAAGTAGTTTTATTTACCTTGTGGACATCGACTCCTTGGCAACGTGCTGAAGCCCACCCAGCTCATCACCTCTTGCTGGGACTGAAACTGCCCCCTGACCAAGCCGGCGCCCTGTCCCCTCTTGGACAGAGCACTGAAGCAGCACATTGAAGAGCTGTCCCATGCCACCCTTAAAAGCTCCGTAAGCAGTGAGGGGGCCCAGCCAAAAGCACCTGAGATTCCTTTTGGAAATGGACTTGTTCAGGTACTGGTGGAGTGAGGGAACAGGGAAAATTTGAACAAGTTTCCCCAAGAGTGGCAAGATTTCCCTCAGGGAGGAGTGATTAGGGATGCAGGGTAGTGGGCAAAAGGGAAAGGGCCGCCCGAGGTGTAGTATTTTTAAAACAAGGTGTGTTTGTCTATCAATTGTGTACTTAGAAATTAACTTCAAGCTATTTTAAGCATCCAGATGATTCTAAAGTGAGCCCACTGACTTCCCCTTGAGAGCCAGGTGTCTAGGGCCCTAGTTCTCAAAGAGGAGCCCAGGGTGCACCAGCAGTTCCTGGGAACTTGTTAAGCATGCAAATCTCCTGGACCCCCCAAACCTGCAGAATCTGAAACTCAGGAGGGGAGGGTGGTGGAGCCCAGTTGCCCAAATTTTTAATATTCTGTGCCCCGGCACACTGCTTCTCAAACTAAGGTAGACGGGAACCCCCTGGGGGTCTTGCTGAAATGCAGGCTCTGAGCCAGTAGGTCTGGGGTGGGCCTGAAAGTCTGTATTACCGACAAACTCCCCAGAGATACTGATGAAGCTGGTCCCTGGACCACACTTTGAGTATCAAGTCTACAGCAGGTCAGCCTGTTTTCCAGGCACACAGCCATGCCCAGTCCTTGACCTACAAACAATTCACTACCTGGCCCTTGGCAGAAAAAGTGTGCTAGCCCCTGACCTAAAGGAGTCTTTCTGAACCTGACACCCCATCGGGGTGACCTCTCCAGCATAGTTAGCCTCCAATTGTGATTCCAGAAACTACCAGCATCCCTCCACTCCTTCTGCCTGGTCTATCTCCCAACTGTCCCTGGACTCCCCCAGCCCTACCTGAAAGCCCAAGCTGGGTCCAACCTGGCCCTCCCCATGGTAAAAACAGCCTGGACCTCGGCCTCCCTCATGGTCTGGGGCAGGGATCTGGATCATATTGAATGGATCTCTGAGGCTCCCACATAAGACACAAGACACTCTTGGAAAGGGGGCTCTCTCATCCTTTATTTCCTGCGGGATCAGCGGCCCTCGAGGGCCCGGTCTCGGGCGATGACAGCCTCTTCGAACTTGATCATGAGCGTGGTGCCCTTGTGCCAGTGCGCTGTGACTTTGGCGGGGAAGCCGCTGTGTGTGAGCACTGCCTCCACGATGCCCG